CCACCAGCCCCTCCTAGCCCAGCCTTGCCCCTGCGTCTGCAAAGACCTGGCTCCTCCTTTACCCTTTTCTCCTTCAGCAGCAGCAGCTTGTGCTCCTGGATGACGAAGTATCGCTCCTGAAACTTGCAGCCCAGGAGCTTGGGGGGCTCCTCTCGGCACTTCAGCACCCTACCCTTTTCTCCTTCAGCAGCAGCAGCTTGTGCTCCTGGATGACGAAGTATCGCTCCTGAAACTTGCAGCCCAGGAGCTTGGGGGGCTCCTCTCGGCACTTCAGCACCCCGCACTTGGGGCTCTGGCGCTTGGCCCCTGCACCGTGGGCAAAGAGCAGGACCAGAAAGTACCAACATTTCCAGCCCGGTGCTGGGGGCCCTCAGCAGCCCCACGCTTCATTTCACAAAGGGGAGCTCCACACGGCCCAGGTTAGTTACACAAGTGACAAGGGACAGTGACCAAGTCAAACCCCTGCAAGCTGCAGGGAAACTTTTCAAAGACCCCAGGACAGAGGCCCGACTTCAATGGACACCCCACATTGAAAACAGCAAGAGAACCAAAAAGTGCCACGTGGGTTAACAGCCAGGTCAAAGAAGCAGTGAGATACCAGAGCTTTTAAAAAGTCAAATCCTAGTGAGGAAAATAGAAAGGAGCAGGAACTGTCAAATTAAGTGTAAAAATATAAGAGGCAGCAGCCAAAAAGGAGTTTGAAGAGCAGCCAGGCAAACCCTCCACAAGCAATGGCAAAATGGTTAAGTACATCGGACGCAGGAAGCCGGCTCCACAGCCAGGGGGGCCTTTGGACGATTGCGATGCTAAAGGAGACTCAGACGATAAAGTCACTGCGGGGAAGCTACATGAATTCTTTGCTTCAGTCTTCACGGCTGAGGATATCGGGGAGATCCCCAACCCTGAGCCGTTCTGGTAGGCGGCAGATCTGAGGAATTGTCCCAGATTGAGGTGTCATTAGAGGAGGTTTTGGAACAAATCGAGCACCAGGACCAGATGGCATCACCCAAGGGTTCTGAAAGAACTCTAATGGGAAATTGCCAAGCTATTAACTGTCGTTTGTAACCCGCCCTTGAGATCAGCTTCTGTGCCAATGACTGGAAGATCGCTAGCGTGACGGCTCTAGCGGGAAATCTCACGTCAGTACGGAGCACGTTCATTGAAACTACAGTAAAGAATTTCTTGGGGGAAGTCACCATGGTGTCTGCAAAGGGAAACCCGCCTCACTGGGGGCTCAGCACACGGGAGGCCAAGAGGGATCCGGTGGAGAGAGGGCACTTAGAGTTCCAGAAAGCCTTTGACGGGGGGGGGGGCTGTCTGCTCTGTGACCCCCTGCGCTGGGAGGGGAGATTCTCACTGACTCCCCCAAATGTGGATTAACCCAGACACCCAGGCTCAGCCTCCCAGGGAGGGAGACAAAGGGAGGAGGGCGGAGACCAGCACCTGGCTGGGGGGCAGGGCTGGAAGAGAGGTTTTTTTAGTTTCTGTCTGGTATCATGGAGGAAGCAGCCTAAGCAAGGGGCTGGGATTTAGGGGCCCAGGCTCCCCCATCTCAAGGGGGCTGAGGCATCCTAGGCCTGCCCTGGAACCAGATTCCATCTGTGCTGGGCTGTATCCTGGAGAAGCAATAAACCCCCTGTATTCTGCTGGCTGGTGGAGTCTGTCTGTGCCATTTCTTTAGTTTCTGTCTGGTATCATGGAGGAAGCAGCCTAAGCAAGGGGCTGGGATTTAGGGGCCCAGGCTCCCCCATCTCAAGGGGGCTGAGGCATCCTAGGCCTGCCCTGGAACCAGATTCCATCTGTGCTGGGCTGTATCCTGGAGAAGCAATAAACCCCCTGTATTCTGCTGGCTGGTGGAGTCTGTCTGTGCCATTTCGGGGGGGCAGGAGTCAGGGGGACCCCGATGCGACGTCACACTGGTGTCAGCGAGGGGGTGGCGACCCTGACCCAGGGGAGGGCTCCCTGCAGTGGGCGCAGGGCCCCATCCCAGCAGACACAGAGCCTGGACGGGCTGGGACTCCGACACCAGGTAATGGGGGGAGAACAGGTTCCCGTCTCTGCCCCAGCTGCTGAATTCCAGGCTGAAGTGCAGGGGGATCCCTCCTTGGGACCCTGAGGGACCGGGCGGACCTGGGCGCGGCTCAGCCCCTAGGGCGAGGCTGCCAGGAGAGATTCCTGGGGGAGGGGGATTCCTGTACCGGGAATGGCTCCCCCCAGGAAGGTGGGGCTATGGGGGCTCCAGCTGCAGCTGGTGGTGCCCAAAAGCATCGCTGCAAGCTGCTGTATCTGGCCCATGACGTCCCATTTGGGGGGCACCGGGGGATCCGACGCACCCGGCTGAGGCTGCTCCAACACGTCTACTGGCCGGGGGGGGTGGGCGGGGGGAAGCTGCCTTGAGGCGCTGGCCCACCATCGAGGAGCCTGTCCGGAAGGCAGCAATAGAGATAGTGGGGCCTGTCGGCCGGGCGACCTGGATGGGGAACAAATACACCCTGGTAGCAGTGAACGTGGCTCCCCACTGCTAGCGAGGCAGACACGATGGCAGACGCGCTGCTGGCCCTTTTCAGCAGGGTGGGGTTCCCCCAGGAGTCCTCACGGACCAGGGATCCCACTTCATGTCGGCCCCGCTCCGGTGCCTGTGGGAGACGCACGGGGCCCGGCTCACCTGGACCCCAGCGTACGGCGCCCGGCCCAGCGGGCTGGTGGGAGGTTCCAGGGGAACCTGAGGCAGATGCTGGAGGCCTGTATGCACCGGCACCCGCAGGACTGGGACGAGTCCCTGCCCCCCGCTGTCTGCACAGGGAGACGCCCCGAGGGTCTGCCAGGTCCCCCCGACAGAGCCAGGGTGCAGAGGGGGAAGGACCCCTGGGCTTGCTGAGAGAGTTGTGGGAGGGGGTGTCACCTTACTGGATTTTGAGGGGAGCAGCCAGATCACTGCTGCACCCATGGGGGGGGTGTTGGCCCCAAAAGTGGCACAAAGGGGGCCACGTGAGGTGTCAAATAGAAGCTACTTTCTTCTGCTTCCATACATGCTATTCACGAGATAGTATAAGTTAGAAGCATGGGCTGTGTGTGGATACCAAATGTTTCTCTGGATGTGGTTGAACTATGGGCAACGCAGCTCAGCCTGTGGACATGCTAATGAGCAAGTCTCCATGGAACAATAGGGCAAGGCCACACCTGAGGAACGGGGACTGATCCCTAGGTGCTACCAGCAGGGAACACAGGGATAGGCCATCTGGGGCACGGATATTGCTGGGGTGCCAGAGGGGTTTTGCTCGGGAGGCTTCAGGCAGGCAGCTGAAGCGCTCTGTGGGACTGGTGTGTGGCCTGTTTGGGAAGGTCTCCAGTCTGGGGCTAGAGAGAGCCCCGAATTTGAGCAATTCGCCCTGAGCGGACGCCCTCAGCTGTGCCCAGACCTGGCCCGGTCCGTCATGGAGAGACCTCCCCGAATGGAGAGCCGGGGGTGGGGGACGTCCTGGCTTTCCAGGAAAGGCTCGCTGGGCTCGTGGGCCCGGCCAGGGAGGGCCTGGGCAGAGCCCCAGGGCAGGGGAAGGGCTGGTGCAGCCACAGAGAGTGGCCCCGCAACGGCCCCTCAAAGCCGTGGCGCAACGGGACGGGGGGAGCCGGCTCCTGCAGGGCAGCGCCGTGGCCGGCCCAAGCCAAGGGGGCACCAGTGT